AACATACATGTTTGATTTTGGGTAGTGTGTATTTTAACTATTAGGCGCTCACGGTTTGTGTGACGATGTGAGAAATTAAGTTAAATGTGGTGAAAAGTTCCCGGGTAGGTGTTACCCCGACCCCCCAGCTCGAACTTTTTCCAAGATCCAATCACATCCCTGATTGGGAAACTGTACAGTATGTGCTAAGCCTACTAAAGTTAATGGATGGGGAAGACTGCTGGAGGTATGATTGATGAGTATTCGAGTGATTGATGGAAGTCTGGTGATATGAATTAAAATTACTAAAGTAATGTATAAGTGGGAGAAACTTGACTAGAACATAAAACTTTACTGTACTGAAGCAGAAGAGTGAAGGAGGACCTAAGAGAGAGAGAGAGAGAGATAAATCTTGATAAAATCACAGAGGGAAAATGGAAACAATGGAGCACCTTAGCTTTCGTCTTTATTCAAGACTCTTCAGAGGAAACTGAATTACATGGACGGAAAGAGGCTTAAATACACAGGGTGACCTTATTAAACATGAGGTCAGGTCATAATCATGGCATCCACTAAGCCACACAACAACACACACGCAGAGGAGGTTAAGAGAAAGGACGACGTGACTAGTCAAGTTCAGTCAGGTCAAAAATATGGGACCCACTAATCATTTATCCTACATCTAACTCCAAGGTTTTCAAAGCATTTTTAACCTTGGGCCACTGACAATTAATTTTGTGTAACATATCAAATTTTGTACAGACCATCACTGAGGTTTATAGAATTTAATTCCCTAATCAAATTAGCTTCAACCAGAAAAAGTAATCAAGGGGGTGTAAAGAAACTCTTTTAAGGCAGTGCAGGAATAAAAAAATTACATAGACAGTGCAGGTATACAAACAAGTACATAAACATTGTTGGTATACAAGCAATGTATGTAGATATTACAAGTATACAATGTACAGACTTAGGTATACAATGTACATAGTGTATGTATACAAACATTGCAGGTATGCAAACAGTATATAGACATTGCAGGTAGATTCAGGATGATAGAGAGTGATAGTAACTCTCGACAGGAGCTGCCATGCACAGGCCAACCGGCCTATTGCAGACTCCTTATTTTCTTATGTTCTTATAAAAACAATGTATATAATGTAGATGTACAAACAATATACATAGTGTAGGTGTACAAAATACATAGCGTATGTGTACAAACAATGTGCATAAACAGTGCCGGTATACAATCAACTTATACTGTACATTGTATAGGAATACATTGTTCATAAAGATTGCAGGTATAGTAATAACGTTTGGGTGGTTTGTTTTAGGCTGTTTGTCTTCCATCGCCATCTGCTGATATTTTGTAGGTCGTTCACCATTAACAGATGTGATCTCTATTGCATTACCGGCCAACCATTTCAGTTTTCCGTGGTATAGTAGTAGAACTACTTGTTTACAGAAACGCTTGGTCTAAAGTCTTAGATTACGTGACATAGCTGCCTGTTGTCACGCCCATTTCAACGTAACCATGGGACCTCCAGTTTCGTACTAAATAAAGCAGACCCCGACCTAAAGGTCTCCATTTTCTTTTGTTGGCCGACAGAAAACGTTTTATGACCAACTATTTTAAATATTAAAATAAAAGTTATCTGTGATTTGGTGTTCGCTTATAGTTCAAGCCATGTTGTTAAAGGGTTAAACCACAAGGGCGGATCCCCCCCCCCCTCTTTTCACCAGAAAATTCAATACCTTTTCTTTAATATAGTTTTGTACTCGGCATTATTGTTTAATAAAAAATATTACTATTAACCTCAGAATATCCTAATATCAAGTGCACATGGCTTCAAAATGGTATAAAAATACCCATGATATTGGTTAGATGTAAAAAAAAATTAGGGGGGGGGCTTAAAGCGTCCCCCTTTTGATATTTCTGGATCCGCCCCTGAACCATAGACCTCAACGGGTTGGTATTATTGCAGTTTCACTACCAATTGGGTTAGAGCAGTTTTGGGTTCACCAGAAGTTATATCTCGCCAATTGCAACACTTCCGTCATAAATGGATAATAACCGAGATGGTGAATTCACGTAGGAAATTCGTGTAAATCTGTCGTCGCCGCGTGTCGTAGTTTGTTTACAACTGACCCGCTCAGCCCACGCCGAGTGGCTTTCAATGGTACCAGATATAAAAATAAGCACTTTCTGTTGAATATGGGGGGCGGAGCCCCTCGGCTCGGAAGTTAGGTAATGGTAGGTAGGTTTCTTTGATTGGTTAGGTCAGGTTCTAAGGAGGCTCGAAAACGACTCCTTTCCGACGGATATGGGAGTCACATTCGAATGAATCGCACGGGAAGAACCTAGATTTCTGGTTAAAAACAAATTGGTTGTGAAACTGCAATTTTACCAAAGGCTTAAATCATCGTCAAACTGTTAAATCATCGCCCTCAAAGGGTAAAAATATTGTCCTCAAAGGGTTTAATCATCATCCTCAAAACAGTTAAATCATCGTAGTCAAAGGATTAGGGTTAAGATGGAGACATGTGGATATCCTGTCGTTATTTCCATCTTGGCAGGAAAAATATGTGAAATCAACAAGGTGACTAGTTGGTCTACAACTTTATTGACTACGATATTGCCTCTGTGACTTCCTATCATAACTTTTTCGTTCCTTCGCTTATCACAACTTCTCTTGGTGTTATTTAGTGAGAATATCAAAACTCCAGTTAACTCCGGAGTGTTTTACAGGGCTCGGCTAAATGACCAGTAAGTATCGTATATGCACTTGCACATGAACACGAGTACCAGTATAGAGGCCAGAGTACAAGGTCAGGAGTACCTGTTTGAGTAATTCCTTTTTAAGTTTTCAGAATATGAGTTTGAGTGAGGCATAGACTTCACGTAATAATGGGTATTTATAATTTTTCTTCTTATGTAAGGCCAAAAACTACAAAGAAGCCCTCCCCTCACTCCTTCCCCATCCCTTCCCTTGACCTCCTCCTCCCTCCCTTCTCTTTCCCTCCACTCCCATTCTCACCCTCCCTTCCCCACCCAACCATTTCTTCCCTCCCATCCTTCCTATATATACTGTTAATAAATATGATGTACTTCTTTGTGTATGAACCTCTGTCCTGCGTGGCAGTGAGAAGTGATACCACCCTCAGTGTCAAGACCTGACTGAATTACTACAACAAATTATTGTTGGTCATTGTAAACCTGAGACTTATCAAATGATTTGGCGATCAGCGAATTCTACGGATATTTCTCGTACCCTCATAATTATGCATTTATTCCAATGATATGAATTTATCACGTCTAATATTGATAACTGATACTTAAGATGAAATTAAAATTGGAGAACATTCATTTATTCTACTGTGTGATTACAAGTTCGTGTCGTCGTTCATTTGTTTGCGCGGGTAATGCTGGTCACCATGGCAACCATTTCAACAAAGCTCTTTTACCTGGTCACACATGCACGTGCTTGGCAGTCTCTTAATTTCTTACTGCAACTGTGAGCGAGTGTGTTAGTTATAGCAAGGTTAACTGTTAATGATAATGTTTTAACGTTGCTAAAATATTGCTGACAAATTATTATATTTTGTGATTTTTTCCAGGTGTGTGTATGTGTGTGTGTGTGTGTGTGTGTGTGTGTGAAGTCATCTGGGCGTATCAGAACTAGTGGGTGTAAAACAGGAAGTTTGTAGGTTATAGCGCAGGCTGGGACGCGGTCATCAGGCACCCTCCTCCACACACCCACGGCGAGGGACTACAGGTGTGTAAAACAAAGCAAAGAATGGGTGGGGCACCGTGGGGCGGGGTGGGGCGGGGTAAGGCAGGGTTGAGTCACCTGTCGTGGTTCTGTGAAAGTGGAGGAAGGAATGTAAGAATGGTGGACGAGGAGAGATGGCCGTAGGAGAAAGAAGGATAGCAAGGGAGGAAGGTGTGTGGGAGCAGGAAGGGCGTGAGTAGGAGGGAGGTATGGGTGACGGTAGGCCAGGAAGGGAGGGTGGAAGGGAGGGTCAGCAGGAAGGGCGTGAAGAGAGAGAGAGAGAGAGGGGACAAAGGACAACCACCAGACGACGTTATCTACCATCAACACAATTGTTTTGGAAAATTTAGTTATGACGTCATTTGTGTCCGTGTGTTGTTGTTGTTTTTGTTATTGTTGTTGTTTGTGACGCAGGAAATAAACAACAGCCTTTAAAACACTTATTATGTTTCTTAAGTTTCATTCCTTAAATAAGTTAAGAGTTATTGATCATTCTTATGCCTATTCCTATTATTATTATCATCATCATCATCATTATCATCATCATCATCATCATCAATCATTATTATTATTATTATTATTATCATTATTATTATCATCATTATCATCATCATCATCATCATCATCATCATTATTAATATTATTATTATTATTATTATTATTATTATTATTATTATTATTATTATTATTATCATTATTATTATTATTATCATTATTATTATTATTATTTAAGATATTTCCTCCTTAAGTTTTAAATATAATCGTTGCTTATTTATATACAATGTTCTTCCCATGGCCTCTACACGGACGACAAAACCATCTGTCATCGGAATTCCTGATAACCGTGAGAGGAATGTTCATCAGGTGGTTCTTTCAGGTTCCAGGTGGTTATGTGTGTTGCAGAGGGTGTATGTGTTATTTACCATATGGTTCCGTGATTGTTCCAGGGGGTTCTCTTAGTGTTCCAGGAGGCTGTGTTGGTGTTCCAGATATCCGTGTGTATTCTAGATTCCAGGAATGTACTCATATAATCCACATTCCAAGCGATTTTGTGGATACCTCACTTTCCAGGCGGGTATGTGAGTGTTCCAGGATTCAAATACTTTCCAGGCGGGTATGTGAGTGTTCCAGGATTCAAATACGTGTGTGTGTGTGTGTGTGTGTGTGTGTGTGTGTGTGTGTGTGTGTGTGTGTGTGTGTGTGTGTTGTGTGTGTGTGTGTGTGAACGATCCAGTGCTATTATGTTCCAGTCGACAGTCGTGCTGCGTCAGTCAGAGTGAGAGGACGGTCGGCACTCACACACCCCCACACACACACGCGCGCGTACATCTCCCGACTGTTATAGGTTAATCACAGGTAAGAGAGCCATCTACCTGTGTCTGTGTGTACGGGGCAAAGGTCACGAACTGCTTCATTTCCTGTCGTAGCTGATAAGGTTGTTTACATGGATAATTCTAATACAAGATTTTATTGGTTGTTTAATTGTAAAAGAAGTTACTTGTTCCTGGATTGCACTGAGAAAAAGAGAGTTAAAAATGACTCTTAGATTAAGAATCCAGAACTATTAAGCCACCGTGAAAAAAAAATGATTAGTTTTACTAAATTGCGAAAAGAACATCGATTGACATTTAGACTTATCAATAAAACAGTGAATAAAGGTCTTATTATCAGACTTTATTCTCAAAGACTTTAATCTGGGCTTACGGTTGAATCTCCTGCGTTACCTAAGTATAGACACCTCACTTTATTACACCTGATGATTAAACAACTTAACATTACCTGTGGGACTTGGGTTAGGTTATGTGTGGTGAAGTTTGGTTAAGACTGGTTAGGTTATGTTACGTTATGCTGTATTATGTTCCGTTGTATTATGTTATGTTAGGTTATATTGCATTATGTTACGGTGTATTATGTTATGTTATGCTACCGGGTATGTTAAGTTTGGTTATGTTATGTTACGTTGTGTTAGGTTACGTTAGAAACCTTCCATATCAGGATAGGTTAAAAAAACTTAACTTGCATTCCCTAGAAAGACGAAGAGTGCGGGGAGATATGATAGAAGTATTTAAGTGGGTGAAAGGAATTAATAAAGGGGATATAGATACAGTTCTTATAATAGCCGAGCAGGATAGGACTCGGAGGTGATCCGACTCATGAACGACTTCACAAACGCAAAAGCTAAACAAATGATCAAATTACAGTCTAAAGTTACCATACGCGACCTTCTCTACTTACCTTGACGGCCTAATCAGTGGACAGGTGTATGATGAGTAAGACAGGTAAATTACAGGTAGATAGATAAATAAGGGATATGTTTACCTATTAACACATAGATACAAATGATATGAAAAATAGAGAAAGATTCGTAAATACAAGGGATTCACTTGGAGATGAGACAAACCCGGCTTATTTCACCTGATGGTTAAACCTTAAAACCTAACCTAACTTTACCCTCCCAGGTGTTTAATCAAGGGAATTAATATGGGGTGTCTTAGCTTCAAGTGATTCCCAAACTAATACAAGGAGAATTGATTTATATGTCTAAATATACATCGTTGTGTATAACTAATAGAAACTATGTATGATGTGTGTATAACTTGGCATGGATAAAGTACACTACCGTAAGATAATTAGTGTATGTCTATGGTGTATTCATCTATTTGGGTGTATTTAACTAGTGTTGTATAATTGGGTTGAACATGTGTGAAAATCACTGTTTATATACTTATTGTGAACTGTATTATGTAATTATTCATTTTTTTTGGGGGGGTGGTACTGTGGGATCTCTCTCTCTCTCTCTCTCTCTCCTACCTATACACCCCCCCACACTCATCTTACCCCTCCTCCCCTCCTCCGGTAAGTATTATGCATCACAAATACCTGACACACCTGGCATTAGAAGAGGTGTCCTTATGTCCCTGTGTTCTCAACCTCCATCAAGAATGAGAAAATACTTATACATTACATAACCACACGTAGCAGTAATTAGTTATATAGAAGAATACAAAACCTATAATCGTTCGTAATTATAGATACATATTACTGTAGAATAACACGTGTGCACTGAGCATTACAAAGAGGTGTTCACGGTATGCGCACGGCCTTGTGTTAACCAGTCTTACCTCCGTCCTTTACACCCGTTCTTTCTCATCGGCAAAAACAAGGTTATAATAATAATTAATAATAATAATAATAATAAGCAATGTAGATGTGTTTATTATCAAGGACAAATTTTGTAGCTGTGGTCTGCTCTGTACTCGTCAGCACATCACAGCATACATGATTAACTTTTCTTTTTCTTTCGCTTAACGCTTTCAAAATATTATATCAACCTGACTGTAGGAGTTGTGGCTGTAAGATAGGCCTTTGAATTACAGTCTTCTGTATCAACTTTTAAGAGATACGTAATCGAGAAGAGTATACATAGACTAGCCGATAATTAAAACAATGCGCTACAGGCCAGTCTGTGGTGAAGAGGATAATGTGAAGTTAGCCACTTAGGCGGTCGGTCACATCTCTGTTACACACTGTTGGCAAGTACTGTACTTTAGTGCACCTGCTCCGGTGTTTGTCATGTCGGGCCTTGAATAATCTTACACTCGGTGCCCTCACAATACTCTCCGGCAGATTGTTCAAAGACTCTCAGGTCTCACTCCGAAAAAGTTGCCCTGACAAATTTCTAAACTTGTAGCTTGTTCAACCTTGAGGTATAACCTCTACTGGGGCGGACATCTGCCAACTCCAAGTATGAACACTCGACTGAGTATTGTCTTCTGAGGCGTTTATAGACTTCTATTACGTCACCCCTTTCCCGTTTATATTATAAGGTAAGCAACTGCAGGCTTATGGGTGCCTCTGTTAATGGGTCTGCAAGTTTAAATGTTCCACAGTCCGAACACGTCCCAATCCTACTTCGTTAAGTTAGGTTAGATTAAGTCAGCGTTACCGAGGTTAATCTTCAGATAAAATAGGTTAGGGAGTCTAAACTTCAGGTGATGCGCCACTAACGTACTGATGAGTAACATCATGTCAGATGCGAGAGAAGGTCCCCCGTCTAAAAAAACAAAAGCCACGCATACTTACTTGCCGTGACTCAAGCATCCAGCAGTGAACAGTGTGTGGTTTTATCTGTGACGTCATAACACCATTTTTGTTGCTTGACTAGTGCAGATAATACACCTAACAGCGACAAGCAGACGTATACTGTGTGTGTGTGTGTGTGAAGGGAGGGAGGCACCTTGGCCACGGAACTCAGGTACCGATTGGAACGTCTCACAGAGTTTTGATGAGCCTCAGTGAATTGTCCGGAGTAAATGAGGGAACATCCGGGTGCTGGTGGCTGTAAATCTGGGTCTTAGTAGCTCAACATCCGGGTCTCTAGGTCACCTGCCGTCACCCACCACCTACTGCGCCATCTTCACCCAAAACACGCAGTAATTACAATCGTCACCACGTCCCCGCCCCCCTCCCGCACCTCCTACACTAAGCGAAGGATTCTTACGCCACATCTTCACTTTTTTCTTCCTTCACTCTCAGAATAAAGAGTCACTGGATGTGTAAATAAACGTTCGGATCACCTGGAGATTAGACCACTCCCAATTTCTTTCATCTTAAGATTAAGTACACTAAGGTTACATGGGGGTTTACATTAGGTTAGGTTAGGTTAGGATAGGTTAGGTTAGGATAGGTTAGGTTAGGTTAGGTTAGGTTTGCATTACAGTAATTAATCTTCAGGTGAAGTAATGTGGGTCAGGTAAATCATTAGGTGTTTCGGTGAGTGTCCTAACCACTTCCCCACTGATAATACACACACATACACACACACACACACTACTAAAGAACAACTACATCTGGAACACTCCGACACACGCCAAGGCCAGATGATTCCTGTGTCTATTGAAGGTGAATCACATGGCTAAATCCTCCTCCTCCTCTTCCTCCCACACGCCTTGGCCGAGCCCTTTGACGTGGCCAGGGTGTGGAGGGCCCTAATGTGGCTATCTGATGGCTCGGTTCCTGACTCACACACACACACACACACACACACACACAGCTTCCCATCCCACCCTCCATCAACATCATCCTTCATCTCCACCCACCCACCCACCTCACCCACCTCACCCACTCACCTCACGCACCCACCTCACCCACTCACCCACCCACCCACAACATCAATAATTATCACTAATTCTTCCCTCTCATAACACCATGCCATAAACTGCAGACTTCATAATCCCCGACGTGAGATAATAACAGTGTGGTGGGACTCTCAAGGTCTTTTTCGAAGCAGGAAACCTAAGTCTTAAATATAGTTCAGTAAAACCTCCGGAATGTGTCTACGAGGTAATGAAGGTCTTTAAAACATTGTGATCACCAGACAGGTATTTTTGTAGGTATTTTTATATTTTTATTTTTTATAGTTTTTGTTTTTGTGTGTGGGGGTGGCATATGGTGTTGTAGTCTGTGATGTTGTGGTTTTGTGTTGTAGTCTGTGATGTTGAGGTGTTGTGTTGTAGTCTGTGATGTTGTGGTGTTGTAGTCTGTGATGTTGAGGTGTTGTAGTCTGTGATGTTGTGGTGTTGTGTTGTAGTCTGTGATGTTGAGGTGTTGTGTTGTAGTCTGTGATGTTGAGGTGTTGTGTTGTAGTCTGTGATGTTGTGGAGTTGTGTTGTAGTCTGTGATGTTGTGGAGTTGTGTTGTAGTCTGTGATGTTGTGGTGTTGTAGTCTGTGATGTTGAGGTGTTGTGTTGTAGTCTGTGATGTTGTGGTGTTGTGTTGTAGTCTGTGATGTTGTGGTGTTGTAGTCTGTGATGTTGTGGTGTTGTGTTGTAGTCTGTGATGTTGAGGTGTTGTGTTGTAGTCTGTGATGTTGTGGTGTTGTGTTGTAGTCTGTGATGTTGTGGTGTTGTAGTCTGTGATGTTGTGGTGTTGTGTTGTAGTCTGTGATGTTGTGGTGTTGTAGTCTGTGATGTTGTTGAGGTGTGTTACAGTCTTGAGATATTGCAAATCAGTTACCAGAGGGGGTTAGGTTAGGTTAGATTAGGTGAGATTAGGTTAGATTAGGTGAGGTTAGGTTAGGTTGTGATAAGTTTTGTCAGGTTATGTTAATCTAAATTAAGTTAGTATTAGGGTGGTTAATCTTAAGCTGGGAGCTATTCTTCAGCTGATTTTAAATACACTACACAGTGGAATAAATCCTACCTGACAACCCTGCAACAACAATCACACTGACTCACGCATCTCAAACAAAAACACTGGATATTGGCCAAAAAACTAAGATGGATCACGAAGACTTACACACAGTCCATAAAGTAATTACCAAGACAATAATAATTACAATGACACAGTAATGACAAATACAAGAATTACACACACTAACAAAGTAATTACCAAGATGAGAATTACAGTGACACAAGAATACTAAAACAAGAATTACAAACAATGACACAGTAATTATGACTAAATTTACGTGCCCGAGGGGGAGGATTTATTACAAGCAAGCAGGGAATATATTGTGTCTGATAGTGGAGTATACACCAGCGTGAAGCAGCTTAATGTTTACGATCCTCAAGAAAAAGAAAAAAAAAACGCGGGTTATATTAAACATGATCACGTGAACGCTTTAACGATTTTCCACGGCCTGTTAAAACACCTTGAACTTGTTTATATATTATGAGCTAAATATTCTCACGATTTTAACAGTATAATAATAATTACAAAAAAAACTTCTATTTGTTATGTATTTAAGAAATTCAGAGGACGTAATACAGATGAAGAGTTTAATATGCGAGGGAAAAACACGACTTGTCAACTCTTTGTTTTTGTTAATATCCCACCCCTATCCCCCCCCCTCATCCTACCACCCCACCCCACCCCACCTTCCCCCAACCTTCCTCCTGCCCCCAACACCCCACCCCTCTTACCTTCGTCCTCCCCCGCCCTCCCACTATCCGCGAACTCAATACAGGTTTCTGCACTCGTCTCTATATTATGCGATTGTCTCATGCAAGGTTCGATTCCTGGATGGTTACCCTGCTGTCACGGGCCACACGGGTGTCTGCCATGGATAAGAGAGCCGATAGCAGTGACAGGTAGATAGATAGACAGGTAAATACATAAAGAGATAGATTTGCGGATAGATAGATAGATAGATAGATAGATAGACAGACAGACAGACAGACAGAGAGACAGACAGACAGACATAGATAGATAGGTAGACAGACAGACAGAGAGGGGAGGATCATAATAAAAGGACAAGAAGAGAAAAAAAAGGACAGACAAAGAAAGGAACAAACAATGGACTCAACACCACCAAGACAGACACACTACAACGCCCTTCTGTACCCCGGCCCGGAAAAGATAACATCACCTTAAGAGGAACGAATGTTGGGAATAACAAGAACAGGTGGAGGAGAGAGAGAGAGAGAGAGAGAGAGAGAGAGAGAGAGAGAGAGAGAGAGAGAGAGAGAGAGAGAGAGAGAGAGAGAGAGAGAGAGACTAATAAATCATCATGCTGGTTTATACTGATGCAACATGTATATAAACAATGCAGGTAAACAATATACACATTAAAATCTGTTGATATAGAAATAGGTAGAATCTATGTTGTTTAATAATCACGTTGTTTGTGTCTCACTTTTCTTAATATTGTCTATATATTTCCTACAATTTATTTCCTGTTTTCTTGATTTTTTTTATCTGTTGTTCCATTCAACGAGCGAAGATGGGAGAGGGGGGAGGGACGATAATAAATATACAAAAAGAATATAAACTCATTATCATGTTATATATGATTCATTGATTATCGTTTGTGATTTTAAGGTGATATGATATAGACTATATTATTTAGTGAGGTATATATCGGTACTGTATCATATAGTAGAATATGTATAAACAATAATATTTACCAAGATATACTGAGGCTATATTTTAAACTAGCTATACCAATAATACCAGTTTATACCAGGACCAATAATAATAGTTTATACCAGGACCAATAATACCAGTTTATACCAGGACCAATAATACCAGTTTATTATACCAGGACCAATAATACCAGTTTATACCAGGACCAATAATATTAGTTTATACCAGGACCAATAATACCAGTTTATACCAGGACCAATAATACCAGTTTATTATACCAGGACCAATAATACCAGGACCAATAATACCAGTTTATTATACCAGGACCACACACAGTTTATACCAGGACCAATAATACCAGTTTATACCAGGACCAATAATACCAGTTTATACCAGGACCAATAATACCAGTTTATTATACCAGGACCAATAATACCAGTTTATACCAGGACCAATAATACCAGTTTATACCAGGAAATATATTAAAGATTTTATACCAATAATGTGTTATGACGTAATAGGAAATATACAACTAATAATTAATATAAAGTCTCTCTCTCTGTCTGTCTGTCTCCCTCTCTGTCTCTCACCCCTTCTGTCTGTTTCTCTGTCTGTCTGTCTCTTGAGGTAAGCAATTAGCCCCGCCCCACAACACGATAACGTATAGAGCTGCCCTAAATACCACGGTTTTTAACATATCAAGGCCAGGGTCGATGTGTTTCGGAGGTGACAAAGCCTCCTCACCCTTCATCCCTCACCCCTACCAAGGTGAACTGAGGACAATATTTTTTTCCTTATGTATTGTTTATTTATTTTCTCAGCGGGTATTTAAAGCTCTAGATAATTTCTTTTTAAGGATAAATATAGTTGATATTGTGTACCTAACCTAACCAAACCAAACCTAAACCTAACCAAATCTAACCAAACCAAACCAGACATAAACCAGACATAAACCCCAGGCAGCATTAGAGGCGTTTATTCACCAGGTGTAGTAAATAGGGTGTCTAATCTTCAGGTATTCTCAATATATCAAACAAATTCCTCTTTAGAAAATAAAATCACATTCAACTAATTATGTGTTTTTTCCTGGTTTATTTATTATTAAGGTTTTATCAAAGGAAATATTTACCTTTTATCGGTATGCCAATGAGTGTATGTCAGTCTTATGTATGTTTGTATGTCAATGAGTGTATGTCAGTCTTATATGTTTGTATGCCAATGAGTGTATGTCAGTCTTATGTATGTTTGTATGCCAATTAGTGTATGTCAGTCTTATGTATGTTTGTATGTCAATGAGTGTATGTCAGTCCTATGTATGTTTGTATGTCAATCGGCTATCTGGAAATCACGTGACCAATTTCAATCCAATTTCAACACCCTAAACGACTCATTACTGATACCATGGAACAAAATGACTGAATTTCGATTTAAATTCTACGAAGGTCATTTTTTTTTTACTACATTTAATGACGTTGTTGCATGTGCAGTTAGTTCAGGTCACATTTATGTATTTTGGGTGTTTTATCCAAGGGAGTTATTTGTTCGTGAATTGATTAGTATTTATTTTTTTTATATTCTAATAAATTCTACTTTTCTACACTTATACTTTTCCTCTTTCTCTTAAGTGGATCTTGGTACGGGTGAATATTCTAAATAATGTTTTATACGTTAAATTATGTAATTTTAAATACACTGAGGAGAGTAATTACAATCAACCATCGCTACAGGAGAGTGAGTGACTGAGTGGCTGGTGTCTATGTGTCACTCAGTGGATTTATTGTCCCCGCCCATCGGAAGTCACCCCCGCTCAACGGCCATAGTCCAGCGCCCCGCCCCTCCCTCACAAAGAACCAAAATTATCACGCTGCATTGGCTTACCGCAGGCCCTTGACCCGCCTCTCTCTATCATCATGGGGTGTGACAGCTTTTTTGATAGCTATAGGACCTTCACACCATATCACCACCGACACAGTATTAACACGCCACTGTCACCGGATTTCAAATTATCAACAGGACCCAAAATGTGATTAGTTGTTTATTAATATCCGGTGTGAGATAGTATTAATAACATATCCCGACCACAGTGACTATATTAACTGAGCCTGTGTGTGGTGGTGACGCCAGGCCCACGAGACAGATGCCTTGGGTTGTCTTGTATAGGTCACATTGTACTGTACCTCCCCTAGTTATGGCGCTTATGGTTTTAAACTTCAACCTTTCATTTTACTGAACAAGATCAATTTCAAATCACAAGCAGAGCACACAAAAGTCAAAGTGAGTGAGACAATATTAATGTACAAGTGTAGACACACACACACACTACCAGGAATAATACATTAATATACTATAATATATACATAATAATGGTTGCCCCTCGTTTAACGAGGATGGCCGGCCTAAGGGCCACCTCGGCGTGAACTTGTTTAAGGTGTAGAAGCTGTCGCCAACACAACAACCACACCCTGAGTTAAAGGGCTGCGTGACCCAGTGTCAAGGAATAGTCCGAGAAAACCGAGACAATTCGTCAACTGCACTGGCTAACCATTACCCCGGAACACGATCCGCAAATTGATTAACATCCAGGTTCCCAATTGCTGCTCGGTAGACAGAGGCAAATGGCGGAAAGAAACTTGCCCATAGCTTCACCCTGCCCGGGAATCAAAGCCGGGTCCACTCGCTTGTGAGGCGAGCATGCTAACCATTACACCACAGGTCGCCATATTCATATACTATAAATAAGTACTGATACAGGTAATTTATTGGTTATGTGGAGAATCTTGTGTGCACATGTGTGTGTAGGTGTGGAAATCGTCTATATACACATGACTAGTTTACGTGTGTGCAGATATGAGGAGCTTCTGCTTATATGTAGGTTTCAGGTGTGTGTGTGTGTGTGTATTATACAAGAGTATAACAGATCTAACGCTAACTGAGGTATACTGTACGTGGTAGGTAATAATGTCTCCCTGTGTTATCACAGACAATAGTAACCACGGACAACAGTATAACACTAACGGAGGAGGAACAGTACGTGGCAGGTAGTACTGCCATCCTGTACCATACGTGAGGTGCTGTTCGCTTTGTATCTGTGTTATTCTGGCTAAGTTAACTGCTTCAGTCATGACCTTTTAATAATGAAGAGTTTGTGTTTCAGGATGAGGAGCTTGTTAACGCTGGTGACGGCAGCCCTGGTGGTGAGCTGCCTGGCGGGGCCCCACACACTACTGCAGCAGGTAAGTACTATCCTGTACCTCCTGGCCCTCCTCCAGAAGGTCCGGCCAACACACCGCCTCCTCTGTCATAACACTTCAGCGGTGGTTCACTCTGGTTGTGTGACGAAACATTTATCAAAACACTGTCTGGTTCTTCGTAAATTGACTGACTCGTCCTAGGCGTTGAAACTGATAGATGAAGGTTGAGATTTATGATCACCCAGCCACGGTACTGTAGCAGACCAAGGACAGGCAGTTATCGTGCTGACAAGGAATATATCCAGACTAACGACCACACGACACCAACAAACACTTCTTAATTACAATAAACCAAAAAAGATTACGTGGTTTTGGTAATACACTGAAAAAATTAGGGTCGATCAGTGGGACATTTTGATCATATATGTTTTACCTCTTGTTACAAAGGCTCCAGTCTACCATTTATCAAGTGTATAAACAATAGTATGTGTGTCATAGTGGTGCATGGTGGCGGGTGTCGTGAGAGTTAATAAGACAAGACCTTTGTAATTTTAAAGTTGATTGAAAACTTTCGGGTCAGGGCCAACACCAGGCTTGTGTGTGGGTTACTGGGACCAAGATCACCTGAGCTGGCTACTGATATTATTAACAACACACACACACACACACACACACGTTGATGAATGACTCACATGTCACCGGAACAACGACCAGCCCTTATCACCTGGCTGGCGTTGTTCCCTCACCCCTCCCTGCCTCCCCCTCACCCCTCCCTGCCTCCCCCTCACCCCTCCTTTCCTCCCCCTTCCCTTCCTCCCCCTCACCCTTCCCTTCCTCCTCCACCCTCACCCCGCCTCCACCCTTCTCCCTACATCACTCTGCCTTCTTTCCCTCATAATCCTCTCCCCCTTCCCTCTACAGTCCCTTACCCTTCCTATTCCATCAACTCCCCCCCTCCCACTCCCCCTACCCCCTCCCACTCCCCCTCCCCCCACGTCCAATAAAACATTGATCGTGGTAATATTTATGAAGCTCAGTACAGGCCAGGGACTACTAGACAGTGACTCATGTTTACAGTGTGACCACGACCAGTGTTCGGCTCTCACACTAGAGGTCATAAGAGGTCAAGTTTGGGGTCATGATTGTGTATTTTATTTTTGTTTGGGTGTGTGTGTATGTGAGAGAGAGAGAGAGAGAGAGAGAGAGACGCATTAAAATCCAGCAACAAACAAATAAACAAACAAACAAACAGACAGACAGACAGACAGACAGACAGACAGAACAAAGGCGCACTCCACAAGACACAGCACACATACACGTATACAAAAATCATCCCTCACTATAATTACCATAATGAATAATTGTAGGGGAGGGAGGAGGAAAAGGAGGGGGGGGGGAACAGGAGAGAAGGGGAGGAAAGAGAGAGGCGAGGTGAGAGAAGAAGAAGTGAAGCAAGTGAGAGAAGGTGAGGGAAGTGAAGTGGTGATGGGAAGTGAGAGAGAAGGTGAGGGAAGTGAGGAACAGGTGAGGTGCAGTGACAGGACAGGTGAGGTGCAGTGACAGGACAGGTGAGGTGAAGTGATCGGGTGGTTGAAGTGAAGTGAGGGACAGGTGGGTGAAGTGATAGGAAGGTTGAGGGACAGGTGGTGAAGTGAGGGACAGGTGAGGGTGAAGTGAGGGACGGGGGGTGAGGTGAAGGAGAGGACAGGTGGTGAAGTGAGGGAACAGGTGAGGTGCAGTGACAGGACAGGTGAGGTGAAGTGATGGTAGGTTAGGTGAAGTGAGGGACAGGGGGTGAAGGTGGGAAGGTTAGGAGTGAGGGAAGTGAGGGACAGGTGAGGTGAAGTGAGGGACAGGTGAGGTGAAGTGAGGGAAGAGGTGGGACAGGTGGGGTGAAGTGAGGGGACAGGTGGAGGTGAAGTGAGGTGAAGTGATAGGACAGGTGGGTGAAGTGAGGGAACAGGTGGTGAAGTGGGGACAGGTGGGGTGAAGTGAGGGAACATGTGAGGTGAAATGATATGACAGGTAAGGTCAGGTGAAGTGAGAGGGGAGGTGAAGTGGGGGAGGAGAGGGAGGGGGAGGAGGGGGTCGACTGTGTGAATTGTATCAACACATTCCGGTGGTTAGTGACGGGGCCCTTGTGTACAGTTATCATTATCACGGCTTATTGCTCCCCTGCCCTGCCCTGCCCTGCCCTGCCCTCCCTGCCCTACCCCACTGCCCTGCCCTGCCCTGCCCTGCCTGCCCTGCCCTGCCCCCCTGCCCTGCCCTGCCCTGCCCTACCCCCCTACCTGCCCTGCCCTCAGTTTTGGTATTTTATTTTCATATGACGTGTATTCAGAGAGAGAGAGAGAGAGAGAGATTAAATAGACAGAATAAACAGATAGACAGATATATTGGTCTTCTGTCAGTAAAATCAACACACGTGAACATAGGTAAACAAACCAGGCCTCTTGATACACCTTCCCCTCCACACTCACCCGCCTTTAAGACACACGAAAACGCCATTCCTTTAGCTTTTAGGGAACAGTTGATATACCAAAAACATTATATTAAACCCCAGGACGATATTATTACACTTTATTATAATATAACCTTGATTCAATGCCGAGAAAACTGAAATCAAGGTTGGAATTGTGATTTTTTTTGTAAGTAATTATTTTTTGTGCATATTCTATTTTTTCCCATTAAACTTTATTATTATTATTATTATTATTATTATTATTATTAAGAGATAACCTTATAAGCTGGAATAATTATAACTGGAGATGGTAATTACACAACAATTATCCTTACAACCTCCTGTAACGGCGTTTAGTGTGTGTGTGTGTGTGTGACGATTATGTATGTATGTATGTATGTATGCATGTATGTATGTATGTATGTATGTATGTATGTATGTATGTGCGTATGTATGTATGTATGTATGTATGTATGTATGTATGTATGTATGTACGTACGTATGTATGTATGTATGTATGTACGTATGTATGTATGTATGTATGTATGTATGTATGTATGTATGTATGTAATCAACTTATACCACGCTAAACAACCTCTCACCCCTAAAAACAAAGGACAAACAGCTATTAAAGGCCGTACAATTTAACAAAAAGTTCCTGGAAGAGAAGAGGGAGGGGAGAATAAGCAAGGGAGGATGAGAGGGGGAGATAGGAGGGAGAGAAAAAATAAATAAGAGGAACATATGTGGCAGGTTAATTAGGGCAGGTGTATACAGGTAGAGGCAGGTGGAAATTGAATTAAAAAAAAAGTTTACTTAGATTAATACAGAGACAATATTGACATGGCTGAGGTGTCTAAGTAATGATGCAGCTCCCTTCAAGTATTACCTGTTTAATACGACTGTACATTTAATCTTAGGAATATTATTAAATTATTGAACATTGTATAGAACGTCATCTGTGTTAGGACCTCTGTAATAAGCAGTAGAGAGAGAGAGAGAGAGAGAGAGAGTATGTATGTATGTACTGTGTGTGTGTGTGTGTGTGTGTGTGAGTGTGTGTGTGTGCCTAAGAGAGTACATAACGCTCACGGGTTGTAACAAAGGACATAACAAAACACAAACGGGGAAGAAAAAACATTACAGTCCTCTCGTTTTCATTCTGTGTTATCGGTTCCATTATTCTGTTTTCTTCCTACTCTTTCTGTCTATGTCTCTATCGTTCTTTGATCTATTTTCCTATTATTTTTCCCTCTTTTATTTGATTTCCTATATTCCAATTTTCTTTCTTTTTTCTCTATTTCTCATTTTTTTTCTTTCAGCCCACAACTTTACTTCTGCTTATTTTGTTTTCATTTTCTATCTTTCTTCCTTCCTTCTATCTCATTTTTTTTCATTTTCTATCTTTCTTCCTTCCTTCTATCTCCTTTCTACCTACTTTATTCACTCTTTTTCCCTTCTATTCAATCGTGTTATATGAACCTTCCACAAACATTACCCTCGTCGGCCAAGTGTCAGTCAGCATCACACACACACACACACACACACACACACACACACACAGTCGTAAAATTTCTTCCCCTCACGTATACAAAAACAAAGTGACTCTCTCCGTGTGTCTGTATGTCTGTCTGTCTGTATCGCTGTCTCTCTGTTTCCCTGTCTGTCTGTGTCTCTCGTCTGTCTGTGTCTGTCTGTATATATCTCTGTCGTTGTCTCACTCTCTTTCTCTACTAAGACACTACATTAAAACGTGTGTAAAAGAGTTAGTCATTATACTTGTCCATCAATATTAAGACCTAACATGATATAGAACTGTACTCCACACGTCTCCCAAGTTCACTGCTGGAGGGGTGAAAAATAATAGCAATCCTCGTCTATTTATAGTTAGTTGAGAGAGAGAATAATGTCAGGGGAACTAATAGTAACCCTGAACTGTTTGCTTATATGTGTTTAAGAAATGTGTGTGTGTGTGTGTGTGTGTGTGTGTGTGTGTGTGTGTGTGTGTGGACGGAAGTTGGCCACAAAACCCATCCTCATGTTTTCTACGTCTGTTACCCAACTTACCGACTCGTCCTAGTTACCAAAAGCTTTCCTGTCAGCTAATAATTACTCCAACATTCTCCGTTTTTATCGACATTACCTTCACATATCACTTATCTCCCGTGACGCTGTAAACCCTACCTGCGTCAGTTAGCTCTATGAATACCGATCAACCTGACATTACCTTACTGAGAGATTAAAGAGTTACTACCTGACTATGTGACTCAGAGAACTCATTTTCCCTGATAATTACTCTCACTCCCGTTTAAATTAACTACTAAATTATCAACTTATCTTTTTATTGCTCATTTAATCATTTTATTGTTATTTTTATACTTTTATCTTGTTTCATTTCCCTAATTTCACCGTCACTCGATATCATCACGTGTGTGTGTGTGTGTGTGTGTGTGTGTGTGTGTGTGTGTGTGTGTGTGTGTGTGTGTTTTAGGGAGGATGCAGCTAGTGGGGATTAATCTTGTGGGCGGGAACGTATAGTGAATGTCACAGGGAGAAGTGCAAATAGTGGAAAGGGATTATT